TGGAGGGAAACGCAGGCAGAGGAGGAGGAATGAAAAACAAGATAAAAAGAGCTTGAGATGAGAGGAGAGAGTAAGGAGACTTGATGAGCCACGGGAGGTGCTGCTAAGTTGCCAAATAGCCACTTCCTGTGAGCTATTCAGTGTTTAACTAAGGGCCTTTGTGCATGTTTGTGTCCCTGTGTGTACCCACTGGAATTTTAAGGACCCCCTTTTCAGACTAATTACATACTGACATATTTCAGCAGATGAGGCTGTTTCCATGTCAGTGAGCACCGTGACTGTAAGCCCGAGTGTTTTTATGTGTGGTACGGTAAGCTATATGCTTACTTACAGTGAGATGGTCTTCTGTGTCAGAGTGTATGTGTCTCTTTCTGTTGTTTATTGGTGTGGGGTCACTCGGTTCCCTCAGGGTCTGTGTGTTTTTCACAGGGTGAAGTTGTTAATTTCGGTTAGGCTGTGGGAGGGAAAGAGTGTGAGAAGACGAAAAAGAAGGGGGGACTGGGCTGGGGGAGGGAGCGTGGCGGTGGGGCAGTTGATAGTTAAAGGATTCTTTCTTTCATTATCTTTTTTCTTTTACTTTTTTCACTGGGGCCAGCCTTTAGAGGGCCTCAGTATATCTTTCTCAAAGGTTTTCATGCATCCACTCAACACTCAACCAAAGGCCTACACAGTGTCCTCTGTCCACCGCATCATCACCATATTACAACATGACACATTCTAAATGAACAGAGAACGTCTTCAGTGTAGGTTCTTTTCTTTCTGGTTCACTCAGTTTCATTTTGTTTCCCTCACACTTTTACTTTGTGCTCCATGTTGGAAAAAAAATCCAAACCCCTTGAACTTTTTCACAAATTTTAATGTATTTTCTTGTGATCTTATTTGACAGACTAAAATAAAGTAGTTATGAATTGAAAAGAAACATGTTTTTCATCATTTTTTAAATAAGAATTTTCTATAAAGTGTATTCTGAGTATACAGTCATGTTGCAGGAAATTGAGGTATTTCTCTAGCAGTTTTGCTTGTGCAGAGACTGAATTTATTCCCCATTTTGTTTGCAAAATAGCACAAAGTCAACCATTTTGGATATAAAGTGAGAAAACAGCCATTTTAATATCTATTCATAGATACTCAATTAAATTTAAGACTGGACTTTGACTGGACCATTGTGATTTTTAAAAAAATGTATCTATACTTTTTATGATTTTTGAATTTACCATGATTTCTTAGCCTTTAAGATCAAAACCTCACCATAACATAGATGAAATGTTACACACTGAATTAAAGCAGGATAACTTCCCATCACTCACAAGTCTCTTCTTTTGTTGTTGTTGTTTTTGTTTTTTGTTTCTTGTTGCCTCTAACAGGTTTTTCCTGGTTTGCCCATCCATTCTCCCATCAGCTCTTACCTGCTGGAGAACAGCAGCCCCACAGCATAAACCTGCTTCTGTTGGGCATGGTTTATTTTTGCAATGCACTGAATGTCCTCAGCATTTCATAGTGATGAAACATTCATCCATAGTAACGTTTCACATCTTTTTATTCTTGGAGTGCTGAAATAGGAACTGTTATCCAGAGGCTGTTGAAGCTACAGCACACAGGCCCTGCGTCTACGCTTCTGCGTTTGCGTTCATCTGTTTGAATTGCACAGTCAGCTACAGTTAAACAGCTGCAGATCATTAAAGTGGAACCATGTGATCCAAAATAACACATATTCCCAGCTGTGGAGAGCAAAGTCAGTAATTATAGTTTTAGCTTGTAGGCTACAGTTTACATAGTGGGAGAAATTATCTCATTGCTCTTTGAAAAGGACAGACAAATGACTTTCTTTTAAATCCTGAATGTGGATGCTCTTTGAACTTGCAGAATAACTAAATACAACCAGAATACACTTGAGGTCAGTCACTGCCTAGGGCTGGAAAAAGTTGTGTACAGGTCCTGCATGAGTCCAGTCTATAGATAATAACACACACACAGTCTGGCAGAGCAAGGACGACTCACAGAAGTGGAAGTGATTGATCTTGTCACAGCAACACACACACACACACACACACACACACACACACACACACACACACACACACACACACACACTTCACATGGGCAGATTGAAAGTAGATCACTGTGCCTTGGTGTTTGCTGTGCTGGCCCCTCCTCCACCTGGCAAGCTGATCTCTGGTAGGGCTAATGCTCACTCTCACATAGTGACGTCAAAGTGGGCAGACTCATTTATAGCCAAGCTCACCATGCTTATTAGCATCTAATTGAGCCTCGCCTAATCTGCTCTGACGGTTTGTCAGCCCCTCAGTTAATCTAGGCACTGTCGGACTGACTGAGAGGAGGATGAGGCTGTTGCAGAGAGTTGGTCGCCACTGAGGTTTTAATTAAAATTTAAGGTTCGTGGTTACTTAATGTTAAATTTTAAAGAGTTAAGCCCAAGTATGGAATGTTATGTTTAAAAAAAGAAAGATTATGAATTATAACATTTCTGTCCAAACTAAAGCTTTATTGGTTTTGTTCATTGTATTATAATGTAGTTGTGTTTTAGACTCAAGAAACATAACATTGTGTAGCTGGTGCTAAGCATGGCTTTACCAAAGCAAAAGATGATAACACTGGATAATACCAGAGACAGACATGTTCCCTTTCCTGTCCCATCAGGGTCTTTTCCTGATCTACCCTGGTCATCGTCTTCAACCTGGCAGAGAAGAGTCAGTAAACCAAGGGTGAACAAAACTAGTTTGTAAAAATGAATGTTAGCAACAAGCTATGCTATCAGTACTTTAGTGTTCATTAACAAAAGCTATGATGATGGAACAATGTATATTTACCATGTTGTAGAGATTACACCTGCCATCACCTACACATGTGTTAGCATTGTTCTTATAAGCATGAATCTGACTCCCAGCCCACTAAAGTTGGTGTGGAAGTTAACTTCTTTCAGACTGGAGAAATTTACAGTCAATACAAAAAGCCTTCCAGACTCTGGAATTGCAGGAAACTCTAGGAAGATCTTGAAGACATTGTCGGATTGTGTTACTCTCCGGGGGCCCCTACAATTGCATTGCTGCCGTTTCAGGATGATGATGCAGGAGATCTTTGTCTGCTGTAAGTAGTCTCTCGGATGAAATGTTAGAACCCTCCTGTGTCTGCATGGCTTTGCCCTGCAATGGCAACTTCAGAAGGGACAGGAAAATTAGCATATCGGTATATAGATAAGCATAAAAAAAGATTACAACACCTCTTTCCACATATGCTTCCACGTGTCCTTTGTCTTCTAAACTCATTTCTCTCTGGGGCAACTGTTACTGTAACAGGGCGGTCTCCCCCACTTTGTTCTTCACTTCAAAGCTTTTGGAGGTTGAGTGATCTGTGTGGTTGGCATTTATCTCATGCAGCTCTTGAACAGCTTCACTTCCTTTCTCTCCATGGAGGTGTGATTATTTGATGACGTATAAATGCAGTACAATGTATTGTTATGTGCTGCTTATGTTTTGTATGCATGAAACATTCACTAGATAACCACAATTTCCAAACTAAAGAGAGGAACTCCGCTTGTTTGTGCATTTCTCTGCTCAGTTATGTGGCCTGCCTGTGGATCTGCTTTCTGCCCTTATCAGTCAACAGACTTCCTGCTTTCTTTATCCGCATCCTAAATGCTCCTCTTCCCAGTGGTAAAGACCAGTGTGGAACTGTGGATTTTTTTGTGGACTTTGTGTATCAGGCCAAGTTTTGGTGAAAAAGTGGAGCATGTGTGCTTGCAGCCTGACGTATCAATATTGAGATTTTAGTTTTTTGATAAATGGGCAGCCATAAACCCCTCATTTACATTATGTTCTGAGGACTGCTGAGGAACCTCGGAGAACCAACAAAAGCAGTGGAAATTTATTACTCAGCGGAGCTGGATGTAGTGTAAATTAGGTGGCAGTCTCGTCACAGAGGTTTTTTTTTAATCCAAGCATTGTAATAGAAAGTTAAGAGGTAGGAAAAAAAATGTAGAGGGGAAATTATTAGAAAGTTTATTTGATAGGGACAAACACACATCGACATAGACAAACTGAATAAAACAGCAGGCCCATGTTTGCATCATGGTGCAATAGCAACAGCTAATTAGCAGCACTAGTCCCTAGTTGGGCTTTTTAAAAAATAACTCTAAAGATTTAAGTGATAATCATTTAAAATAGCACAACATAATGTATACAAACAGAAAAATGTAAAACATCACTAAATGTGCACTAGCAGCAGGGATAACAGCAAGCAGTAAACAAAGCCCACTCAAACATTTCAGGGAGATTCACAAGTAGCGGACTGCAGATGGAGCAAGAGCTGCAAGAGTTATTACATACAGAATCCAGGACAACTGTTGCTGTATCAGGACAACTGTTGCTGTAACACGGCAACTGTTGCTGCAACAGGAGAAATGTTACAACTGTTCTCGTTTTAGGCTATGTCTTTTCCACTTTATTTAATTTGGATTTTTGAAAGTAAGTCAAACACAGAAACAGTTTGAAACATTTAGAGCGCCGTGATTCTTATTTTGCTCTTCAATTTGAGCAGTTCTCTTAAACATCTGGTGTATGTCATTTGTTAGATGGCATAACTCGTCTTTCATGTGGGTCTTTATGTTGTCTTTGAATGTTTTTGAATCAGTTTTCATTGACATCTGCACAGCCTGTGTTGTTGGCTCACAGCATCCTGGCCACTCTCAAGGTTAGCTAATTAGCTCTGGGTGTTAGCCTGGTCTGTTCTGTTGAGAGTATGGGTTTCTTTTCTTTTTCTTAGTGGAGTTTCCAGTCATGTTCACTGCTGCATATAGACTAGCATTCATTCCTTCAGTTTATATGAAGTGTGTAATGTTGCTGCTCATATTTGCTGACAGACTTCCTGTATTCTATATCCACATCCAAAATGGTCCTCTTTCCTGTGATAACTCTGGAACAGGATTCTTATATGTGCTAACTGCATTAGCCAATAATTTCTTTCTTTCTCCTCCTTCTCTTTAGTCTATTTTGCTCATCGGTGCTATGGCCGTGCTGTGTTTGGGCCTGGACCTCATTTTCCTCCTCATCTACTCCTTCTGGCTTTGCTGCCGAAGATGCAAGAAGGAAGACTCCTCACACTCCCATTCTCACTCCCAGCAGCCCAGTGCTGACTGCTGCTGCACCGCTTGGTGCGTCATCATCGCCACGCTCGTCTGCAGGTGAGAGGCTAAACGACTGGAGCTGGTTTTTTCCCTAAAATATCTGTTAAAATATACTTATCCCCTTATGGACTAGTGATGCTAATTAGCTTCGTACCTCTTTCACTGAGACTACACTAAGGGGACGTATCAATACTTCAAATTTTGGTTAACTTATGTCTCTCACATTAGATACATTTGATATGACATTTTGTGGTCAAAGTGTGAACTACATATACTTCAAGGAGGCTGAAGTGTGCAATAGTCTGACCACTGGAATTTTACTGATAAATAATTTTAATCCTCAGCTAGGTTGTGCAATAATTAGTTATCTCTATCTATTCAGATATAGAAATTGTCTACAAAAGCATGAAAACCATTGCTTTTAGCTCATCTACATTCAGAACCAACTACAAAGTATGTAAACGAGTTTTCTTCCATTAATAAAGGAAGAAAAATAACAAAAAGCAAACAGCCGTAAAAGTAAAAATAGGACTGAGATATACAAACTAATTAAATATATTACACATTTAGAAGACGTCCTGCCCAAAGTGGAGGAGTTTTAAGTATCTCACCCACAAGATCCAAGCTCTAACTTGCAAATGTTCTTGTTTTTTGGAGACAATATTTGCCACATTAATCACTGAAAAGAACAAGAAAAGGTGTAGAACATGGAGCCAAAATAGAACAGAGAACCACAGAAGATGACAAATGCGGAAGAAAATCAAAGGAAACAGTAATTAAAGTCTTCAACAAACGATGAATGTGACCAGATTTATAATTCATCTTCCAAGTGGCACAATTTCTTCCTGAATAGTTTTCCATGGTTACATATGTGTTGTTCTTTCAAGCTCTGTTTTATTAGGTAGAAGCGATAAAACAGAGAAACCAAAAAAAGAGAGAACAGCTACAGTGACAAGGAAGACATGAAGAGACAACAAATTACCAAACAATGGTGCAGACAGTTTATGAATGTGAATGTATCCCTCTTTTAGTTACCGTCATCTCCTCTCTGCTTCTAAGCTCGAGACTTTTCCTCCCTTCCCGCTTCTCCATCTCTTTCAGCCTTTATTTATTTTATCTCTCCATTTCGGCCCTCTCCCTGGCCGAGAAAGGTTGCCATGGAGACAGCAGCAGATTTGATGCAGAGATGAGAAATGAATTATACAGTCATGTAAGCTTTCTGTGTACCTGTGTGTGGCAGAGGGAGAGAGATGTTTTTAGATTTTCAATACTTTATGATTTTTCTTGATATCCTAACTGAGAATCGAATTTAGATCAGAACATCTGTATACTTTATTGCATTTATTTGTATTTTTTTGCTCACAAGTGTGTGCTTGTGAGTCTTTGTCTTCACCTTATTTTTGGCTCTGGGTCAACAACATGTGGACTTCTTTCAGTTGTTTTCCAGTGTGTTCTTACTGGACTGCAAAAGGCAGAAAGGGCAAGATTACAGTAAAACATGTACAGTAATAGGAAGCAATTGTCTTTTGACCAGAAAATGTATATTTTAAACGGGGGGTGTTATGTTAAACATACGTTCTCTTTCATAGCATTCGTTTCGTGTCTCACAA